AGTATGGGTCTAATCTGTATAGATACTTGCTCAGCCATGGAGCCAACGTGGCTGCTGTGAACAGTGAAGGTGAAGTCCCATCTGACCTTGCAGAGGAAGCAGCCATGAAGGACCTGCTTCTGGAACAAGTAAAGAAACAAGGTAAGCCAGCTGTGTACTTGAACATGCTTCCTTTGGGCCTTCTAGGGGCTTTATAAGGAAACTGGATGTACTAGATGTTTTGATGAAACTGAAATCTGGCCCAAGGAGTAGCAGAACAATTTTATTTTGATGGCCTGGCATTAGAATAATTGTACAAAACACGCTGTGATCTAGTTCACAAATTACTAATACTTCGTTTCCATTCTGCATCCTCTGTAAAAGGGCTTGTGCAAAGCAGGCAAAATACCAAATGGTTGAAAATGATAATGCCTCATACAGGATCTCTTTACTCTCAGATGAAGTTAAATTCAAGTCTCTGATATCCAGAGTGGATTGATTTAAATCAGTGACTTAAATCACTGATTTAAAATCATCAGCCACAAAATTTTGATTTAAATGATTTGTTTTAATCTTGTGTTGCACTTGTACTTTTGAGTTACTTTTCTAATCAAAGGTTGATTCACATTGGTTGATAGCCATTAAAACATGTTGATTTGCAACTAAAATAGCCTTTATGCTAAATTTGGTACTTTTTACTAACCAGGATGATAAACTATATTATTTATACACATTTAAGCAATTATAAAGCTTACATTTATTCAGATTCTTAACATTTTTTGTTAGAAAATGGTGACTCATTTCTTTACTAGATTATTTTTTACTCGTGATTTGTCAAGCTGCATTTGGATGGAGATTGGAATTCAATTAAATGCACCAACAACATTTTAAAGTTGTCTTTATTAAAATACCTTAAAGTTCTGGATACATAGGAAAAAAGTAAGTTTCCCATAACATGTTTTGCATTTAATGCTGATTTATTAAACAGAAGTACTATCTGTTGTTAATGAATCAAACTGATTGTGTCTGGTCACCATGTCGTGCAAGATTTTAGAAATAGTAAATACCATCCTCTCACATGATTTTTATCCATTGATTGAAAGGGGTATTTTTCCTGCTTTTTCAACTCTCAATTGGTTTCTCAACTCTGAATGAATTAGTCATTGAACTGAACTAGTTGAATAAACTGAAATGATGAAAATATTCTCTGTACGTGCAGACGAGGCTACTCTTGTCAAAAGCTGGTTTAGCACTGTGACAAACTCTGGCTGTAGGTGCTAGGTGCTTAGCCAGTGACTTCAAGTTCAGTGGTTTGGCTTTATTTAAAACGTTGGCAGCAATAGTACTGTTTGAATATTTTTTCTTTAAAAATTATTTTAATAATTTAGGCCTTAAAATTGAAGTTGAAATAATGACAACTTATATTATGTTTATTTTTAAAAAGAAAAATATATTTAAATACAAATCCAATTTGAATAAAATATTTTTTTTTAAACCATCTAATTGATATTTATCCAGCCAGTTGGTATCTGTGAAGTCCTAACTTCACTGAGGTCTGTTATAATATTGCCATCATGTTGTTCCTAACAAGAAAAACTATTGCAACTTGGATTTGCATTTGATATTTTTCTCCACTGGGAACCACAAAGGTCTTGTCTATACTGGGTTTTTTTTAGCAGCTACACTGTTTTAAAAAGCGTCTTATGTCTGAGCGGTTTGTGCCAGATTCAAACCAAGGTAAGCTGCACTGGTGCAAGCTGCTGTTTACAACAATGAAAAGCATTGGTGCTAGTTACGATGATTAGGGCCCTACCAATTTCAAGGCCGTGAAAATTGTGTCATGGACCATGAAATCAGCCCTTCCCTGTGAAATCTGATCTCCCCTGCTGCTGGGAACCCCGGGTTCCTAGCTGCTATTCCGGCTGCACTGGGGAGGGTCAGGAGTTGTCCTTCCTTTGCATGGCCGCTCTTGGTGGGGAGATCAAACCCACCTCCAGAGGCGGCACAGAAATGAGTGGTCTGCCCTCACTTCTGCACTGCAGCAGCCCAGGAGCGGGGCTCTGGGCTTCCATTCCCCCACACCCCAGCGGCTCCACCCACAGTACCAGGCGCCAAGCTCGGGTCTTCCTCCCGTAGCGGCTTCTGCTGGGCTGGGGCTTTTGCTCCCAGTGGCTGCAGCTGGGGCAGCCCGGGCTCTGGGCTTCAGCCCTGCAGCTTCAGCCAGGCTCGGGGCAGCCCGGGCTGGGGGCTTCCTCTGCCACTCCAGGCGGAGTAGTGTGGGCTCAGGTTTTCCACCTCCCCCACCCCCCTTCCCGCCTCAGCAGCTCCAGCCAGGGCAGCGTGGTCTCTGGGCTTCCACCCTCTCTCTCCCCCACCCCCGCTCCAGCTGGGGCTCAGGGCTGCCCGGGCTTGAGGCTTCAGCCCCGTGGCTGCAGCTGGGGTTCATGGCACCCCGGCTCGGGGCTTCTTCCCCTGCTGCTCCTGCTGGGGGTCAGGGCGACCTGGTAGGGGCTTCTGCCAGGGCTGTGGCACCTGTTTTTCCTGGGGGCCCACAAATTGGCCAGGAGCACCTGTCTTAATCTGTCCCTGGCATGGACTAGCAGCTAGGAGCCCCTGCCTGGGGTGCTCCCAGCAGCATGGGGGAGATCCTACTCACCTCCACCTCTGGGAATCTCCTCTAACTGGGAGGGTGCTGCCTTCAAAGCCCAGCTCTGAACCCAGCACAGAAGTGAAGGTGGCAATCTTGGGACCCCACTACAACAACTTTGCAATCCCCTCCATGATTCCATTTTGGGCGGGACCCTCAGGGTTACAAAACCATGAAATTTCAGGTGTAAACATCTGAAATCGTGAAATTGACCAATTTTAAAACCCTCTGGCCGTGAAAGTGACCAGAG